TCCATAGCTTCTGAATGAACCTGCCTTCCATAGCTTCTGAATGAACCTTCCTTCCATAGCTTCTGAATGAACCTGCCTTCCATAGCTTCTGAACGAACCTGCCTTCCATAGCTTCTGAATGAACCTGCCTTCCATAGCTTCTGAATGAACCTGCCTTCCATAGCTTCTGAATGAACCTGCCTTCCATAGCTTCTGAATGAACCTGCCTTCCATAGCTTCTGAATGAAACCTGCCTTCCATAGCTTCTGAACGAACCTGCCTTCCATAGCTTCTGAACGAACCTGCCTTCCATAGCTTCTGAACGAACCTGCCTTCCATAGCTTCTGAACGAACCTGCCTTCCATAGCTTCTGAACGAACCTGCCTTCCATAGCTTCTGAACGAACCTGCCTTCCATAGCTTCTGAACGAACCTGCCTTCCATAGCTTCTGAACGAACCTGCCTTCCATAGCTTCTGAATGAACCTGCCTTCCATAGCTTCTGAATGAACCTGCCTTCCATAGCTTCTGAATGAACCTGCCTTCCATAGCTTCTGAATGAACCTGCCTTCCATAGCTTCTGAATGAACCTGCCTTCCATAGCTTCTGAATGAACCTGCCTTCCATAGCTTCTGAACGAACTTGCCTTCCATAGCTTCTGAATGAACCTGCCTTCCATAGCTTCTGAATGAACCTGCCTTCCATAGCTTCTGAATGAACCTGCCTTCCATAGCTTCTGAATGAACCTGCCTTCCATAGCTTCTGAATGAACCTGCCTTCCATAGCTTCTGAATGAACCTGCCTTCCATAGCTTCTGAACGAACCTGCCTTCCATAGCTTCTGAACGAACCTGCCTTCCATAGCTTCTGAACGAACCTGCCTTCCATAGCTTCTGAACGAACCTGCCTTCCATAGCTTCTGAACGAACCTGCCTTCCATAGCTTCTGAATGAACCTGCCTTCCATAGCTTCTGAACGAACCTGCCTTCCATAGCTTCTGAATGAACCTGCCTTCCATAGCTTCTGAATGAACCTGCCTTCCATAGCTTCTGAATGAACCTGCCTTCCATAGCTTCTGAATGAACCTGCCTTCCATAGCTTCTGAATGAACCTGCCTTCCATAGCTTCTGAATGAACCTGCCTTCCATAGCTTCTGAATGAACCTGCCTTCCATAGCTTCTGAATGAACCTGCCTTCCATAGCTTCTGAATGAACCTGCCTTCCATAGCTTCTGAATGAACCTGCCTTCCATAGCTTCTGAATGAACCTGCCTTCCATAGCTTCTGAATGAACCTGCCTTCCATAGCTTCTGAATGAACCTGCCTTCCATAGCTTCTGAATGAACCTGCCTTCCATAGCTTCTGAATGAACCTGCCTTCCATAGCTTCTGAATGAACCTGCCTTCCATAGCTTCTGAATGAACCTGCCTTCCATAGCTTCTGAATGAACCTGCCTTCCATAGCTTCTGAATGAACCTGCCTTCCATAGCTTCTGAATGAACCTGCCTTCCATAGCTTCTGAATGAACCTGCCTTCCATAGCTTCTGAACGAAATGGGATTCAGGATTGAAACTAGACAATCTATTCTAGAGGTTTTTATTGAGTCTAGCCTAAGAGAAGTGTTCACAAAGCTTAATGGAATAATAACTCACTTTAAATTACAGTGCTATTAAAAAGTAAAACATGTGATTCATCTCTTTGTTACATTTTGCGCAACGAAGCAATGTGCTAATTAAAGTGTCTTATTTTGAAACACTTTGATCTGAATAGCAAAGATACGTTTCTCTCACAATAAACAAATGCTTATATAGGTCCTCTGTGTGTTCTCGTTGGGTCATGACAAATGTTCTCTCAAATGTTGTTTTGGCACTGAGCAAATTTCAGGTCTGTTGAGTGCAAACCTGAACATTGTGAAAATTCTGTGCAACTTCCGGCGCGCGTTTACTGTGAACACTGAGGCTGTACACGCTTTAAGTTACAGTTTTAACAGTGGTCAAGTAGGCTACTGTGGCTATTTGATCATAATGTAGGCCTATCAGAGTGGCCTACCATCAAAAACAATGGAGAAAATGCATCCCATAACATTTTAACATGGAAATAGTTTTGAGAATGACACAAGTATTGGTCTTCTCAAAGTTTGCTGCTTCAGTGTTTTTAGATATTTTTGTCAGATGTTACTATGGTATACTGAAGTATAATTACAAGCATTCCATAAGTGTCAAAGGCTTTTATTGACAATTACATTAAGTTTATGCAAAGAGTCAATATTTGCAGTGTTGACCCTTCTTTTTCAAGACCTCTGTAATCCGCCCTGGCATGCTGTCAATTAACTTCTGGGCCACATCCTGACTGATGGCAGCCCATTCATGCATAATCAATGCTTAGAGTTTGTCAGAATTTGTGGGTTTTTGTTTTTCCACCCGCCTCTTGAGGATTGACCACAAGTTCTCAATGGGATTAAGGTCTGGGGAGTTTCCTGGCCATGGACCCAAAATGTTGATGTTTTGTTCCCCGAGCCACTTAGTTATCACTTTTGCCTTATGGCAAGGTGCTCCATCATGCTGGAAAAGGCATTGTTCGTCACCAAACTGTTCTTGGATGGTTGGGAGAAGTTGCTCTCGGAGGATGTGTTGGTACCATTCTTTATTCATGGCTGAGTTCTTAGGCAAAATTGTGAGTGAGCCCACTCCCTTGGCTGAGAAGCAACCCCACAAAGGAATGGTCTCAGGATGCTTTACTGTTGGCATGACACAGCACTGATGGTAGCGCTCACCTTGTCTTCTCCGGACAAGCATTTTTCCGGATGCCCCAAACAATTGGAAAGGGGATTCATCAGAGAAAATGACTTTACCCCAGTCCTCAGCAGTCAAATCCCTGTACCTTTTGCAGAATATCAGTCTGTCCCTGATGTTTTTCCTGGAGAGAAGTGGCTTCCTCGCTGCCCATCTTGACACCAGGCCATCCTCCAAAAGTCTTCGCCTCACTGATGCACTCACACCTGCCTGCTGCCATTCCTGAGCAAGCTCTGCACTGGTGGTGCCCCGATCCCGCAGCTGAATCAACTTTAGGAGACGTTCCTGGTGCTTGCTGGACTTTCTTGGGCGCCCTGAAGCCTTCTTCACAACAATTGAACCTCTCTCCTTGAAGTTCTTGATGATCCGATAAATTGTTGATTTAGGTGCAATCTTACTAGCAGCAATATCCTTGCCTGTGAAGCCCTTTTTGTACAAAGCAATGATGACGGCACGTGTTTCCTTGCAGGTAACCATGGTTAACAGAGGAAGAACAATGATTTCAAGCACCAGCCTCCTTTTACAGCTTCCAGTCTGTTATTCTAACTCAATCAGCATGACAGAGTGATCTCCAGCCTTGTCCTCGTCAACACTCTCACCTGTGTTAACAAGAGAATCACTGACATAATGTCAGCTGGTCCTTTTGTGGCAGGGCTGAAATGCAGTGGAAATGTTTTTTGGGGATTAAGTTCATTTTCATGGCAAAGAGGGACTTTGCAATTAATTGCAATTCATCTGATCACTCTTCATAACATTCTGGAGTATATGCAAATTGCCGTCATAAAAACGGAGGCAGCAGACTTTGTGAAAATTAATATTTGTGTCATTCTCAAAACTTTTGACCACGACTGTACAGTAGCAGCTAATGTGTGGTGTTCAACCTAGGCCTACATTCATGACACTTTTGAAGAAAAAAACATGAAGGGCTTGACATTAACCTGTTTATCAACTTGTCCTTCAGACAAGCAGGTGACTGAAAAGGTTGTTGTTGTTTGATGCAAAAAAACCACTTTACAAAATAAAAATCATTATTATTCCCATACCATTATTACAGAGAATCAGACAAATTATGCTCCCCTCTGCCTATTGGCTACTTAGTTTATTCAAGCCTGTCTCAAAATACAACACTGCCCCTTTAAGACAAAAAAAAGCTTTTTACCTGACTTACTTTTCAAAGATGTCTAGAAATGTACACGTTTTGTAGGAAGCAATCACTCTCCCATTGCTGACTACAAATGATCTGTAACTGGGCTAATAACTCACTAAATAGCAAAGGATATGAACAAATGTGCAAACGTGGCTACATGCACCTCTCGCTTTGATCTCAGAACAAGCACATCTACTCACGACCGCTTATACTGTAAACACAGTCCAGTTCAAAGTGAATGGCACAGATCCATATATGGCAATGGCTATTTGCATATAGGCCTATTGTAGCTCTGATTGGCTCTGACCTGTCTGTGTAGAGTACGGGCTGAGTCATGCGTGTCACTGCAATAAAATCCTACTCAGATGCGTTCTGCCTACAACAAAAAGTTAGTTTTACATACTAAGTCTTGCATAGTTCGTTTTGTTTCAGTATGTTGCATTGAAAGTGGCTGATATTGTGTTGATTCGATCACAATTCCCACAGTAAAGGGAAACGTTGATAGTGTTAACTAAGTGGGAAAACTCTAGAAAGTTGAGTGAAGTTCAATCTTGTGCTTCTCTGCGCGGGCTGATAGGTAGTCCCAAGGGGGAGCTAGTAGAGGGAACATTGGGCATGACCATGATAAATCAAGGAGGTGTTTTTTCTTTCAAATGTACCTCTCTCTCTCTCTGTGTGTGTGTGTGTGTGTGTGTGTGTGTGTGTGTGTGTGTGTGTGTGTGTGTGTGTGTGTGTGTGTGTGTGTGTGTGTGTGTGTGTGTGTGTGTGTGTACGTATCAACACTGATGTCCTCCTTAGTCAGTGCTTTGCCCTCTTTTTGAGGTATAATTGGACCAGCTATTAATCACAAACAACATCATGGCCTACAAACAAAAATACTTAGTAAAAACCATTAGTATCAGTTTGCTGAGTTTGACAACCGTTAGTATACTATAGTTTCTCTTTTTACACACACAACAAGAGCTGCTACGGTGTCGTTCCTGTCATTCTAACCCTCCGCTTCCTCTCCGCTTCCTCTCCGCTTCCTCTCTGCTTCCTCTCCGCTTCCTCTCCGCTTCCTCTCCGCTTCCTCTCCTCTCTCCAGGTGAGGACAGCAGCCCAGAGAACCTGCTCCTTCATGGACCTTTCTCCCGCAAGCCGAAGCGCATCCGGACAGCCTTCTCCCCCTCACAGCTCCTCAGGCTGGAGAGGGCATTTGAGAAGAATCACTATGTGGTGGGAGCAGAGCGGAAGCAGCTCGCCAGCGGCCTCTGCCTCACCGAGACGCAGGTGAGTGTGAGGGGACTCAGTGATCTTGAACACACCCGTAACATATTTTTTAACGCACCCTAAACTCCTTAAGATTTTGAACGCACCCTAAACCCCTAGGGCTTAAAAGCCAATTTATGCTTGATCCGAAAATATGGTCGGAGGCTCCGTATGGAGGGTGTGACGCTATTGCGGAGCCTCTATAGGCTTGCGGAGGCCAAATTGAGCTCCGTACCACATCGCCGTGCGCCTCCCAAATTTGGAACAATACGAAGGGCTCTGTATAAACACAAACTCACTTCCTTGACAACATCCTTCAAAACAGCTCTGCTCTGCTCAGCGAAGCGCAAGAAGTCTAAATGCCCTGACTTCAGAGGCCGTATCACAGTAAACGCTGTATGGAGACTGCAGAATGCGGATTTACCATGCAGAGCCTTTAAGGCATGGCTGCATTCCAGAGCACTGAAACAGGATATGAGTAGACTCTTAGTCAGAACTCCACAACACCCACTCAACCAACGTATGGCAAAACCAGGTTTCTCAACCACAAGTTGTTTTGTCCTACAGTAGCTATGGGGATGGGCAAGATGATGCCAATAAATAATGTAGTTCATTTCACAATTATTATTTATGACCTAATTTCTCTAATCATCATCAGAAACACGCTGCTAATCAACAGCAATTCAGTCTTTTCGCAATCATCTCACGCAATATAGCATACATTGGGAATAGAGGATTGCGATGTGCTGAACTTTTAATTTAAAAGGAATTAGACCAATAATTGAATCACGCTTGTAAACAAGACATAAAAATGACAACCAGCCTGAGAAATAAAATAGAAATGTGACGCTATTCGCACGGCAAAAAGCTGTAAAGAACGACAGTGTGTGAATCCTTAGGCATCGCAATGTTTGGCAGTGTTACAGAAAGAATATGGAAGCGATAACAGTTTTACACGCTGTGAAATATTGTCTTGGCAAAATCAGTGTTGCTATTACACTTTGGGAAAAAAATCATAGGGGAGATCACCACCTTCCGGAGACACTTGAAACCCCACCTCTTTAAGGAATACCTGGAATAGGATAAAGTAATCCTTCTATCTCCCCTTACCCCCCCCCCCCCCCCCCCAAAAAAAAACAAAAACAACCATATTGTAAAGTGGTTATCCCACTGGCTATAAGGCGAATGCACCAATTTGTAAGTCGCTCTGGATAAGAGCGCCTGCTAAATGACGTAAATGTAAATGTAATTATTCTATACTAGAAAAGGTAGATTTACTGAAGAAAACATGTCTGCTTGCTTTAGCTGTCTCAAAGTATTTCATGGAAGTGGAAGAGCGAGTAGGTGGTAGTTTTTACAGCAAGCACATATAGACATTGTTTCTTCCAGTACTCAACGACGTCTCTCCTTACTCTCTCCCAGGTGAAGGTTTGGTTCCAGAACAGGAGGACGAAGCACAAGAGACAGAAGCTGGAGGAAGAGTCACCGGAGGCTCAGCAGAAGAGGAAAGGAAGCCAGCACGTCAGCCGCTGGAGGGTGGCTACTCAGCAGGGCAGTGGCCCCGAGGACATCGACGTCATCTCAGAGGACTGACGTTACGTCGTTGTCACCTTGATTAAAACCATCATAAATCTTTCAACATGAACGCAGCCTGACTGACTTGCTGACTGAATATCGGCAGTCTGTGTGCTCCTCTGAACACCTGGTTTGACCTTTGACACCACCTGTTGTTGATCAAACAAACGGAGAAACAACTTTTAATTAAAACGATCACAATCACTGCTTTTATGTTGGACAGAAGAACTCTTGTTTGATCAATAAAGAGACAGATCTGACATTTTGTAGCTGAAGGGTTTTTTGGCCAAGTTATTACACAGCTCTGACTGCTGTAAACATGGTGGACATCTGCATTTGGTCTATGTTGCTTGCCGTAGCAGCACAAACTACTGAAGAGAGACTGTTTGACTAGGAGGAATTGTTCAATACAGTTTGTTACTCTATTGTCTACCCGAACTTGAGATTGTCCTTACTCACATTTAACAAAACATCATTATTGTTTTAGCGTTTTCAGTTTGTTGATGTGTAATTGTACAATGCTAAAAATGCACAATATGTTTGTGGTAAAAAATAAGCCATTGGTATGATAGCTATAGAGGAACCTTCTAGAACCTGCTGATTCTGTTTAGGATTTTGTTTGTCTTTAGACCAGTCTCACTGAAAAGTAGGCAACCACCACTACAGACATTAAATCATACAGATGCCATGTTACCCCTGAAATATGTTTTTGAGTCTCACATTGGAATAGTTTGGGCAATTTAAATTGAAAGTATTTATGCAAATCTAAAAAAGGTATTCTATGCATCTTTTGTCCTTGTTTTGTTTCCTCTGGATTTAAAAAAACTGTTTTTGTCTAGTTTGTTACTCTTTAAATTCATTCCACGTTTGTTTTTTGCCTTTGACAAATATTTGATAAATTCTATTGAGACCATGTAGAATGTACAGTGCAGGCACATTACAACTTGTCCACAAGAATGACAAAAAAAAAGAAATGTACCTCAATACTACATTTATTTCAGCAACCATTACCATTCCTGACATATAATGTTATGTAGCACTTCGTAGTGAAATATATATTTGTATTTGTTTTAAGTAGATTAGAAATAATGCACTATTAGTAGGCCTACACTTTGATTTTCTCTGAACCTATGCCCCCAGAGTGAACGTTTTTGTACTTTCTGTGTGTGGTCAGATGACTTTGGAAAATAAAAACATCTACTACTGATATTTATTATGTGCGAGTATTTCTAAGCGTTAATTTTCTAACCTATTTTCAACATCTATAAATGTCGACATGTCATCACTTCAAACTACAAACACATATCGGTTAAATGACAATGACACAGAACTGAAAGTAATTTGATACAGGACGATTTGGTATTTGTTATTTTGGTCTACATCTTTGTAGAACATCTGTTAATATTTTTTTTGCGAGCTGCAGTTGAATAGTCTTAGCTACACGTCAAGGCATCAGCGTATGTTGGTGAAATTAATAACATTTATTTGTTTTAAATAAAAATAAAAACAGAAGGCCTAGGTTATAGTTTATAAATCTTATCTTATGTTGTTATTTGTAAAAAATATATATATATTATCCATAAGAAACCCCAACCGTCTGTTTTACTGATCTTTATTCAGTCTGCGGATAGTCTTTATTATTAGGACTATTCTAAATTATACATAGGCTATAATAGGGTTATTAACAATTAGCCTAGATTACTTTTTGACGAAAACATAAAACACAAGGAGGTTCTTTAGACTGCAGTAGGCCTATTACGTTTTTCAATGTATTCTCCGTCTGGACTTGTGCCTATGGGCCTAAACATCTGTAACTCAATGAGACACTGGATAGGTTGCCATGGGTGCATGGCCAAATGCGATGATCCGTTCAAAGCGACATGAAAACAAGTTTAACGTAACTCCGTGTCACTACACACTCTGTTCAAAGGACACCTTTCACCAGAAATCTTACTGTGCCAGATATGCTTTTCTTTCCGGACACACCGAAGGACATACGCAACACTTACAACCGCAAAAATAGAGAACGACAGATATAATTGATTAGCCTTCGCTAATCGTTCGGAAAATATTTAAAATCATACTTTCAGCCGAAATAGTTTCAGAAAAGATATGTCAGAACCAAAAGCATTTTTTAAATCCGACTTTTGACATACATGAGATGAGGATATGCTGCTATGTGCAAACAACTTCACTTTTCCGATATGCCGACACACACTTAAGGAACCTTGTTTGGGAATTAAGTCAAAACACCGTCAATACAGCTCTGATAGAGACAATCAATCATAGGGAGAGATGTGTCGGGCCAAACGGACATGATCAACCAGGTCAAAACCCGTCCCTGCTATTACTACTAACACGACATTTCCTCCTTACTAAAACGACTTTCTTTGAGTAATAGAGACAAGTCTTGCGAGAGCCGTTAATAGTTATTCGTTTATTTCGAGTCATGCTGTAGCCTAATCAAACAGCTTATAGGCCTACAATATGTGTTTAACTTGGACAATAGGTGACGATTAGCCTACCCTGTAACAGAACAGAATATAATAGAACATGGAATAGTACATAGCTTGCTTATTCTGTACTTATTCTGTAACACGTATATCAATATAGTATAATCAGTGATATATGGAGCATGGCCCCCCGAGTGGTCAATCATTTAGGGCCATTGTTCTTCATACTCAAACTGTCCCGAATTTAATTCTACGTTGTCACCATTGGTGTGTTTGATATTCAGCATTGTACTAATGTAGATTGACGAAACATTGCTTGAAGGGCCTCTGCTGGGCCTTCGGTTCTGGGTTTTACCAGCTGGAAAATTAATTCAAATCACCTTTATGCGTTGTGATTTTACACCTGCTAATTCTTCAAGCCCCGAGCAATTGAGAGGTGTTAGTATTGCGTCATTTTCATCACCTTTTTACAATAGACAGCCTCATTATCGGCAGATATGCACATAAACTGTGAACAAAATGTAGGAGCAACCTATTCATATTCTCCGTAATTGGGGCTGAATATTTTTTCAGGGTTCAATTACATACTCAATTACATACTTTCAGACACATTCAATGATACGAGCACTGAAATAGGTATGGTAAAAACAGCCAAGGCCTATAGGCTACATGATTGCCAGGAGTTTGTTGTTAAATTGATACCACTGTTTCTGTTCTGCTTGATGCATAAGTGGAATGCAAACCAGCTCTTTTTTAGTAATCCTAAATAATCTTATTTGTACTGTTGGAATGGGGATTAATCTATAGTATATTTAGTATATAGTATAGTAGCCTATATAGTATAGTTTATTATATTATAGTATAGTGTAGTACAGGATAGTATATTATAGTAGAGTAGAGTACAGTACAGTACAGTACAGTACAGTACAGTATAATATTGTATAGTATAGTAGTACACTACAGTACAGTACAATATAGTATAGTACAGTACAGTATAATTGTGATGAGGGGGCGTTGAAGAAGTCAGGCGCAGGAGAGTAAATCACAGAATAACAAGCTTTAATCCGCAAAATACAGGTTTACGCAGAAATGTGTCAAACACACTCCAGGGCACAAAACAGGCACACGGGAAAATACTCCCGTCGATACACAATACACGAGCTCCACCGAGCTTCACAAACCTCCACAATAAACAATCACCCACACAGAAAAGGAAACAGAGGGAACACATATACCATGACTAATGAGGGAATAAGGACCAGGTGTGTGTGATTGAAGACAAGACAAATGGAGTGATGATAAATGGATCGGCAGTAGCTAGTAAGACGGTGACGCCGAACGCTGAAACCTGCCCGAACAAGAAGGGGAGGCAGCCTCGGCGGAAGTCGTGACAGTAACCCCCCCCCCCCCCTTGATGCAGGGCTCCAGCAGCGCGCTGACCCCGGCCTCGGGGACGGCCAGGAGGATGCGGAGCAGGGCGAGCCGAATGGCGACGGTGGAAATCCCGTAACATGGAGGGATCGAGGATATCCCTCACCGGAACCCAGCACCGTTCTTCCGGACCGTACCCCTTCCACTCCACGAGGTACTGAAGGCCCCCCACCCGACGCCTCAAATCCAGGATGGAACGGACAGAGTACGCCGGGGCCCCCTCGATGTCCAGAGGAGGTGAAGCCTCCTGGAGTGGACCAGCTACCACCGGCCTGAGGAGAGACACATGAAACGAGGGGTTAATACGGTAATAAGGGGGAAGTAATAACCAATACAGTGGGGAGAACAAGTATTTGATACACTGCCGATTTTGCAGGTTTTCCTACTTACAAAGCATGTAGAGGTCTGTAATTTCTATCATAGGTACACTTCAACTGTGAAAGACGGAATCTAAAACAAAAATCCAGAAAATCACATTGTTGTAGTGTCATGTAAATAATAATGCAGAAACCTCAATTGTTATATTAATGGGGAGCCAACATGGCCGCCACACAATGTTGTAGTGTCATGTAAATAATAATGCAGAAACCTCAATGTCCCAACTCTCTAAATACATGGCTCTGGTCTGTCCTGTACTGTACCAAATGCCCTCAGTTCAGCTGTAGCCTTATGAACCCTGTGAGTGGTCCTCTTATATTCAGGGGAAAACACTTTCTGCTACCTGCCTCCTTGGTGTTGCCATGGAAATTGGACATTTAGATGCACAAATAAAATACCAGATGGTAGAATGCATGTAGGTGCACAAAATGATCAGCTTTATTCAGCAGCCACCATATATCAAGAAAAATAAAGAGAGATGTTTTATTATTGTGATGATGTTATGCTGTTGATATTTCCAATGATAATTTAGACTGCTAAAGTATTTCATATCTCTGGATTCCTTATGTTCATATCCCATTTTACATGTAATTTTATGTAGGTTTAAATTACGCACACAACAGAGTAGTTGTATGCAGCAGCTGATCAAGAAGTATATAACTACTGTATATAATTAAATATTAGAACTCTAGAACTAGAGTTGAGACCTAAGTAATTAAATATTAGAACTCAAGAACTATAGAATGATATATTAGA